CACCCTTGAAGACCTTCTTTATAACTGCAACTCCAGCAGGTTTTTCAAGCTCAAGGCAACCCAAGAACACCAAAATCAGCCCCTAGGCACCTCAGTAGCAAAAAGATGGTGTTTGAATGTGTGTTTGCGTGTTAAAGTAAGACAAATCTACACTTTTGAACACAAAAATGAAGAACAAGAGTGATATAGAGACAAAGCTATATCTAACTCTCTAAGGGCAATTTTCTGAACCTGGAAGAGGAAAGAGGAGCCTCCCTCTTATAAAAGAGGAAAGCCAAAGCTTCTTGGAGAAGCTAAGCTTGAATGCCATCCCTCCATACACGTGTATGGAGGATGGCTCAAATGCTCTCCAGTTGTGCCAGCTGTCCAAAAATATCTCCAAAAAGGTGCCAAAAAGCAGCCGACCACTTGAAGTGGTCGGCCTGCTAGTAAAAGTGGTCGGCCAATCACTTTAGGTGGTCAACCAGAGCAAAACTAGTCGGCCATGGGTGGGAGAGGTCAACACACTAAATGCAAGGTGGTGGTGTGGTGGTAAGACTTGTTTATAACATAGGTCAGTTGTAAAAAGATTGGTTCGAATTGCAATGTCATTTACATATATGACCCAATACCTTCTTGTGGTTCCATTCCATTTAAAACCCCACTACACACTTGCCTTGATTCTCCTAAAACATAGAAGTCAAGTATGTGTTCCATCTAAGCTTTAGGCAATCGTAATGGCAGTGATGACGGGTAGTAATATCACATGGTAACAAATACTAGGTCCAAGGAAATGCGTAAGGAGGTAATCAATCTCTCAACCAACGTGTTATCTATATTCTCACACTTATATTCCAACACTTTCACAAAACAGTAAGACGCAATTTTTTCACCCGTTTTTCATCAACTCACAAAATATTAGCAAATATCATAAAAAATTCCCCTTTATGTCTAGAATTGCCAAATCATTTCAACATGTACAAATTGCAAGTACCTACTTTCCTGTTCTCCCAAGTGATATAAATAAGAATTTTTGCGAATCCATCAGTTTCTCTATATGGGTGTGTGTATTGTCAGGGAAAAAGAAGGAAAAAATGCAGAAGATTACTAACAGCGGAGGGAAAATCAAGAGCACATACTGGGCCTACTGGCTACTTTCCCACCTTCTCAGTGGAGAAGGAAATAAAAACCATCCACACATCCCTTAATCTCTGCCTTTACCCATATCATAGTTTCAACAACAAAAAAACTAATAATGAACCCAATTTACAGAAGATACACGGGAAACAAATATAACTACATATATTAAACATTGGAACTAGTTTCGTCCAAAATAAAAACAGATTGTAAGCCCCAAATTACACAGATTGTAAGCCCCAATGAACCCAATTTTAAACCCAGACGATGAAACTAAAAATATATCAATGTATTCATGAATGTATGTATTAATGAAATGAAAAAGAACAGAGAGAGAAGGGGAAAAAAATATCAAACCCAAATGCACCAAAAAATGTATGTTATAAACAACCCTAGAAATGTATGTATTCATGAAATGAAGGAGAAGAACAGAGAGAGAAGGGAAAAACATACTCACAGTATCAGAGAGATGAAGAAAAATGCATGTTATAAACAAAAAATGCAACTGAAACTGACAGATTCGAATGATATGTTATAAACAAAAAATGATATGTTGTAAATTGGGTCTGTCAGAGATGCAACTGAAAAATGCAATCCGAAGAAGCCCAATTTACTGAAACTGAATTTTACATTTTCATTTTCAAAAACCTTCCCCCCTTATTACATTCTCAAAAACCTTCCCCCCTTATTATATCATATTCAGATGCAATATCAGGGTAAATTCTTTTGGGTGAAGAGAATGACAAAAAAATACACAATAAATTAAAACTGAAGATCATGCTAGATAATAAGGAAAAGTAAATCCGAATTGGGCTTCCCAAACTGTAAACAAAATCAACTACACTCAATGGAATGTGAGAATTCACCTGCCTACTATTCCTGGGCAAAGACACACACTCACAAATCGCATTTTTCTGGGCAGTAGAGTGATTCAACCAGCCACCATATTGGCATGGCCAAAGACAAAACTTGGGAAACTTGAATAGTGAAGGCCATAGCCCTTGACCAACAGTTTCATCTTGAGAAAACGAACAAAAACAATCAAATCAAATTTTCTGTCTTTCTTTCCTCATTACTTTATTTTCGTGAAGGTGAAGTTACGGTCCAATAGGAAGCAAATGATAGCATGACAAAGTAAATGCATGGAAATTACCAGTATATGTCTCCCAAGGGTAAATGATTCCATTGTCATCCATGTCAAAAAAGGCCACATGTTGCTGAATACGGTTTAGGGTAGGGTCTCCGGCGAGGGTTGGGCTCCAAGAGGGGGGTTGAAGAGAAAGAATATGAATAAAAAACAGCGAATGAGACGGAGAGGGAGTTGTAATTTTGAAATCAAAGATGTGAGAAAGAATGGAGGACGGCTGGAAATGAGAGTCTGAGGTGTGTTTGGTTCTCTTTTCATGGGCGGGAAACCAAAGCATTGAGAACTACACATTTTGGTTAACAACACATTTTGACCATCTGATCTCGAGTCAAGAATCATCTCAGCCGTTAATGAATGCCACGTAGGACAAAAATATATGAAAGATTCAAAAACCTTCCTGCCATATTATATAGATTGTGATGCTTTGCACCTAAAATAATGGGGATGCTGTAACCCATATCATTGACCAAATATCCAACCCACGTACACATGGTGATACCCACAACCTGTTTGGGAGTTATGGAATTAGATCTGAAATTGCCTTTTAATTTTTTTAAATCTCTTATAAGTGGTGAATAAATAACCCACTAATATAATCTTTGGTTCTCAATCTATTTAAGAAATGTGCTAATGCTAAGGCACTCATTCTTCAACAAATAAAATTAAATAAGAAAAATAAATATTTTTTTGTTAAATTCGATGATTCTCTGCATGCCATTATATAAGCCTTATTGTTAGTTTAATAATATTCCCACTTGGAAAAAATCATATCATATATATAAAGAAAGAAAACATGATCTGCACTAAAGGAGTCTAACCACACCACTATGCTTGTTCCCACCTCGACAGGCTGCCACTGCCTTTGTGCAATGAGTGAGGGAAGATGCTTGAAAATGGCTTAATTTGTTTAGCATTTTCTGCGCATTTTCTTCTATTTTCCAACAAAAAGTCAAGAATCCAAAAGGACATAGAGGAGGATGGGGATATGGAAATTCATATAATTTGTTAGCGTACTAAAACCAGGGGGGAAAAAAAGAAGTAAATTTACTTTTATTATTGTGTTTTTTTCCCTAAGTTTTCTTGGCAGGCAAACAAAGCATTAACAAACTAAGAAACTCTAGAGACTGTTGAGGTTCACATGATAAATACTGGTAAGAACTTTTATTTCAAAAAAGTGTTGGTTGATTGATAAAAACACAAATCCAATTGCCTCAATAGTTTACATAGATTGAAAACCCCAAATTTAATTACCTCATAAACCCATATAAACAATCAAACCTTGATGATAATGATGATAAACAAACAGATTTATTATAACCATTATAGACCTCAATACCACCAACAAACAACACACCGAAATGTATATAATTCCTCTTCCCAATCCTGAATTCACCTCCAAATTCAGACCCAGCTCACCAAATTAGCTCCAAACGTAGAAACACACCTAAGTTTCCATCAAACAAATCCAATGACACCAACCCACCAACAAAACTACTTCTATTAAGTCTTAAAACTCAAAACCCAATAAAAAGAAAACAAATCAACAGATCAATGCGAAACAAACACAATTACAAACTAATTGGGTACAAACAAATCAACACAATTACAAACTAATTTGAAACACAAATCAACACAATTAGGTACAAACAAATCAACATAATTTGAAACATATCAACTATACATACACACAATTACAAACTAATCGAAACCTACAATGGAATTGAAGTCACTATCAAAAAAGAAAACACAAAAACACTCACAGATCAATGCGAAGCGGTATATACAGAGAGCTCTGTAACCGAAATGGTGTTTTTCGGAGAATTGTTTTAAAGCAATCCAAATACCTAAAAATGATATCCAGAAAATACCTAATTAACAAATCAATTTAAGGTTTAGAAAAACAAAAATCAAAATAAAAAATCAAAGCCCCAACTCTTCTGGATGTTGAAATCAAAGCCAAAAACAATATTGAAATCGAAAAGGGTTGTAAGGGAATCTCACCTTGCGATGAAGATGAGCGTGACCAAGGAGGAGGAGGAGCGTCGGTAGCGAAGAGGGTGGGTGTCGATGAAGAGAATTGAAATCGAACGGTTGATGAAAAGGGACGTGACGAAGGAGGAGGAGGAGGAGCGTCGGTTGTGATAGAGAGGGTGGACTTCTGTTCAAGAAGAAGAACAGAGAGAGAGAGAGCGAGAGCGAGAGAGAGAGAAAGAGATAGAGAGGGAAGGTGGGGGGGTTGAGACGGGGAGGAGCGTCGGGTGGGTTTCTTTGCTTCTGTTGAAGAACAGAGTGAGAGTGAGAGTGAGAGTGAGAGTGAGAGTGAGAGAGAGGGCAGGTGGGGGGGCCAATTTCCGTCTTTGTGCCGTTTTGAACATTTTAGTCCTATTTTAGGGTGTATTTTTATTTTTATTCTCAAAGTAGGATAAAACGGTTTTTCAAATGCCGTTTTTTCAGAAACCGGCTTTCACAAAACCGTATTCATCGATTAAAATAATAATAAAATTTGAAAATGGAAACCAGCTTTTCTAAATCCGTTTTTGATTAAGATTTTAATTATTTTGAATTAATTAAAAACGGTATTCGTAAAACCGTTTTCCAATTAATTTTTTTTTAATTTATATTTTCAACATAAATATTTTTTGGTCAAAATTTTTTTTTTAATAAAAACCGGTTTTAGAAAAACCGTTTTTGCATTAATTTTTTTTAAATAAATATTTTATGACCAAAATTTTTTTTTCTTAGATCTGGGTATGTTCCCTCCATTGGAAGAATTGCTCTCAATCCTTAGCTTTGAATCAAAATCCTTCTCCATATTAGCTACCGGTGAACAGGATAGAGCAAATTGTTTTTTCTATTTAATATATAACCTAGAAACAGTCCATGTGTTAGATTGCTTGTAACTCAATGTAACGACTATAAAGAAAATCAAGGTCAAATGTAGATTATTTAGCTTTAAACTCCAATTTTTTCTTTGTTTTTTCTTCTTTCTTTTCCAAAATAGTTAGCTAATTTTTTGATGAGGCACATGGTCACATTTGAAAATATTTACATAAGTACTGTTTCAAAACACATAAATTATTATTTCCTAGAAAAAGAGTATGAACTTACGGGAAGAGTAGGGTAGCTCAAAGCTCCATTAATACCAATAGCCATTATAAGAGATGCAATCATGTTGAAACCAATTGCACGCAGCCCTGCGATAGAAACAAAAAGAAGAGGGGAATGTTTACACTTTCCTTTCAAAGTATAAAACTAATGACATTCAGAATTGACACTCCGTTTGGAGGGTGAGAAAGGAAAAGAAATGATTGTGATATCTCATTTATGAGGAAAAAAATATATTTTCACTATCAAGAGAGGGGGATATGAGTGGAATTTTTATCTTTCTTCGGGCAATCTTGTAACCAATCAACTTGTTTCTCACTAAATCTCATCACTCTAGGTAAAAATACGATCAACTTGTTTCTCACTAAATCCCATCACTTTTGGTAAAAAATGAAACAGACTTGCTTTGGTTCATGAATTTTGAGAAGGGATTTGGAAAGAGAGAGGAAAGATGTCTGAAATGTAATTATATTTTTCTCACATTTCACTAATCTTTTCCCTTTTTCATTTCCAAATCTCCAAACACAGCCTTAGTAAACAAATTCTTTCTCACCATTTCTCACTCAATTTATAAACAATTGATAAATTGAAAATGAGAAAAGAGTTCACTTTTGCATCATTTCTCACCAAACCACCCCATCCAAACGTAGTGTGAGACAACTCGTGACTCGACATTTTTCTGGGTAGCAGAGTGATTCAACCAGCCACCATATTGGCATGGCCAAAGACAAAACTTGGGAAACTTGAATAGTGAAGGCCATAGCCCTTGACCAACAGTTTCATCTTGACAAAATGCACAAAAACAATCAAATCAAATTTTCTGTCTTTCTTTCCTCATTATTTTATTTTCGTGAAGGTGAAGTTATGGTCCAATAGGAAGCAAATGATAGCATGACAAAGTAAATGCATGGAAATTACCAGTATATGTCTCCCAAGGGTAAATGATTCCATTGTCGTCCATGTCAAAAAAGGCCACATGTTGCTGAAGAACACTCAACCCATAATTCTTATGTCCTGGTGTTCCGTTTGGATGGTCTGTATCCGAAGTAGCCAATGTTCTTGCCAAATCTGAATTCATGAATGCCAAAGAGACACATTAGTAGCATAAAGGTGGAGGCTTTATGAGACTTCATTAGCACCAAGATAAGTGGGTGAGATGTAAATAAGATATAGTATTTATTTTACTTTTTACACACATTTTCTCCTTTTCATTTTAAATTCTTACCCAAATACATGATATAAACGTAGCCTAATGACACATATTACACATTTGATTCAAGTGTGTTTGAATTTTTTGAATATTACACATATTACACATGATATAAACGTAGGCTTTTTGAATTTTTTTCTAAAAATAATGTGTTTGATTCATGAATATTACACATATTGCACATGATAGTTAAATTTTACTTACATTTTTCCTTTTCTTTCCAAATAGCTACAACCAAACGCAGTCTAAAATTTTAATTCGGTGCAATTACACCCTCACGCTTAACCACTAATTATTTTTGTAGCCACTTTTGAGTTTTGTGATTACAAAGACAACCCAAACTTTATCTTGGACAACCAAACTACAATTATTGTGAACCTAAAAAAACCTGTCTAAAATCACAAAACAATGAGCTTCCAAACCAAACCGTCAGTATAACCGTTTATTCTTTACTCTCAAAAGTGAGAAGAAAATGTTTCAGTTAAGTGGTTCTCAAAAGTACAGCCCAATAACCCAAATGCTGGGCTAATACAAAAAATGCAACTGTATTGACTGACAAAATGTCAGAGACCAAAAAAAAGAAAAGAAAGAGTAATGGTGAGGTTTCTTGGTGCCTTATGCTAGTGGCTCACTGTATTCCCCTCCCCCACACTACACAGTCACACACGATTCTCTGTTTTTCCCTTATCATTTATCTCTTACCATAGGAATACCAATGACAGAAAAATAAAAATTCAATAAAAGTGAAGCACACCAACTAATGTAATCCAAAAAAAGTGCACCAACTAATAAAAACCCAAAGATATCAAAATTAGCAACCAACATAAGTGAAGAAGAAAGGAAATACAAATTAATGGAAACCAAATCTTTTCAACATGAATGTCCATAATCATAGAATTAGACCAGAATGATTAAAAAAATCTATATATAAAATTACTTGGTGTATGCACAAAGACGCACGCTTTGATAATATTGAAGCATAATATGCACTATTTTAATTGAGGCATTTTACAGAACATGGTGTATGCACAAAGATGCACAAAATAGGCACAATACCTACAATGAAATTCTTAGGTTTAAATAGAGATAAGGGAGGTAGAAGAGAGACCAAACCAAAAATTCTCATTGTTTGTGCCACAACAACCTAACAAATTCCCAAAAATGACAATCAACAAAAAATTAAAAAGAAATATACTAAACTCATATCATAAAAAGCTTAGATATGCCAAAAAAATTGTAATTAGCTTACTTGCAAAGCCTGCCATGCCTAATCTTCTTAAACACCTCACATGACACCTTCGCTTTCTCGATGGCTGCGACTGATCAATGTAGAATGAATACGGTTTAGGATAGGGTCTCCGGCGAGGGTTGGGCTCTGAGAGGGGGGTTGAAGAGAAAGAATATGAATAAAAAACAGCGAATGAGATGGAGAGGGAGTTGTAATTTTGAAATCAAAGATGTGAGAAAGAATGGAGGACGGCTGGAAATGAGAGTCTGAGGTGTGTTTGGTACTCTTTTCATGGGCGGGAAACCAAAGCATTGAGAACTACACATTTTGGTTAACAACACATTTTGACCATCTGATCTCAAGTCAAGAATCATCTCAACCGTTAATCAATGCCACGTAAGACAAAAATATATGAAAGATTCAAAAACCTTCTTGCCATATTATATAGATATATATTTTTTATCACAACTTACCAATCACCACTCCCAAATAAAGGGGAAAAGAAATAGAAAAACACAAAAAGCCCAATAAATATAGGAAAATCCATATCAGTATTGAAAGCATATTTAGCAAACTTAGAAGTATTTATAGATCCGTATATACTTATGAGTATTTAGCAAACAATAGAAAAACTCATAATATAGAAAAACCCATTTTATAAATAAAAAATTAACATCCATTTCTCAATAAAGAATCAAACATTTCATTAACTCTGTGTGTGTTGAGTCAGTACCTTTGAGTAGGAAGTGTCTAGTTCATCCTCCTCAGTCACAACATTTTAAAAAGGAAAAAGAAAAAGAAGAAAAAAAGTGTCACTAAGATTACTTGCCTCCAATTCTTAACTAATGTTTGATTCTTTGCCTTTTCATGAACTCTCTCAGTAAGTCATCAATGAGTATAGCACATCCATTCAAATTCTACAACTCATATAGATTAGTTATTAAATTAAAATGAAGCATAACTGAGATACAAATAATGTAGAATCAATGTACTAAAGACATACCCAATGCCAAATTATACAAACCACATGCATGCACTAAATCCACGTACTTATGTATATAACATAACCAGAAATATGTATACATACACACAATGAATTGATGAATGAGAGCAAACCCATATGCAATTGCTGCCTAGATTTGATGCAACATAACTAAGATACAAATAAGAGCAGGAGAACATAGCCAGAAATATGTATACATACACACAATGAATTGATAAATTTTAGAGAAATTTTGGTTAACTGAGATACAAATAAGAGCAGGATCACTATACTAAGAGCATCTCCAACCCTAGTCTCTTTTTTTCATCAAATTTTAGAGAAATTTTGGTTAACTGAGATACAAATAAGAGCAGGATCACTATACTAAGAGCATCTCCAACCCTAGTCTCTTTTTTTCATCAAATTTTAGAGAAATTTTGGTTAACTGAGATACAAATAAGAGCAGGATCACTATACTAAGAGCATCTCCAACCCTAGTCTCTTTTTTTCATCAAATTTTAGAGAAATTTTGGTTAAAAGCTTGATCTAATATGGAACACTCAAACCTTACTCTCTTTTATTTCATCAAATCTTTCTAAAAAAATCCAAACCTATCCTAAAGATCTGTTTTAACCATTTTTAATGAAAGAAACGCATATCCAATAATTACTCTTTTTGAAATTTCATTAAAAATATGACTGTTGAATATTTGGTGAAATTTTTTTACAAATCCCTTGATTTGATTTAGATTTGATGAAATGGTTTGATCTGTATTCAGCCATTTTTTGATCAAATTTGAAAATGGGTATGTCTTAGAGCATCTGCAATCCTTGTTAAGAGTATACCCATATTCAATTGTCGCCTTAGAGCAGATAAGAGCAGAACCAATGTACCAAGACACACCCATTTTCAAATCAAACCACAAGCATACAAACTTATACACAATGAATTGAAGTACCAACCAGAAAGAACAGATACAACCACAAAGAACAGACACAGTAGAGAGAGAGAGGAAGAAATTGCGATGCCTAAAAGAAAATTATCTGAACCAAAGCATCACCTATTGTTTTCAATGGAGGTTCAGATGATGCTTTGATGATGATAAACAAAAACATTAATTTAAACCATTATAGACATACCCATTTTCAAATCAAACAACAATTGGCTCACCGAGAGAGGTACCGGAGGGGGTTCAAAGCAGAGAGAGAAAGAGAAGACAACGGCGTTGAACAGAGAAAGAATCTGTGGTGGTGGTGAAGTTGGTCGTGGAACAGAGGAGCCAACTCGATGACCCAGTTCTCAATCGGAACCCTATCTTGCGAGCAGCGAACACTGAGAGAGAAGGGGGGAGAGGGGGAGAGAGTTCTCAATCTGAAACCCTACCTTGGGCGCAGCGAGCACTGAGAGAGAAGGGGGGAGAGGGGGAAGGCAAAAAAGAGGGAATGGGGGAGGAGACGTGGGTAGGTGGGAGAGGGAGAGAGCACATAGGGTTTGGGCGGGAATAAATCATCATCTGAACCATTGATGTTTATCAAAATTGATCTGAGCCTTTGAATCTAAATGTATCTCACATACATTTTATACTTTTTCAAAAACCTTCCTCCCTTATTATATAGATACATATATTTTTCATCTCGTATTTTAATTAAAAAGTCACTAAAAAAAAAAAGTCATTTTTCCAAACCAATCTTAAAGTCAATCTATATTAATAAGCAATTAGTTATATCAATACTATATATTCGAGAAAGAAAAATGTTATCACAATTTAAAATATATAAATTAAATTTATTTTAAACACAACTTACACTATTTTAAATTTGTATTTTTGGCATAAACTAATCTCCAATTGAGTAAGCCCACATAGCTAATGGGGTGTTTGTTTCAGTTTTTCAGAGCCAACTTATGGCTTTTAGCTTTGAAAAAGTTATTTTGGACTGTTTGGTTAAACTTATTTCAAACAGCTTCTGATTTTAACAGCTTATTTTAACTCAAAAAAGCTGATTCTGAGAAGCTGCTCACCCCTTGCTTCTGATTATCAGCTTCTGCTGTGGACATGTTAATTTATGGTTACAACTTTAAATTTTTTTATTTTTTATTTTTTTAAAAATAGAAAAAGACTCAAATGGACCATAGATTATTATTATTATTATTATTATGACAAATGTAGACAAATAGTAAATAACAAAAAATAAAAATTAATTAAAAAAGTTATTTCACAACTTATTTAACAAATACTATTCAACAACTTAAATTTATAAACTAATAACTACATCAAACAAATTAACAATTTCTAATTAAAATCAATTTATAATCTATTAATTATAATCTATAATTTATTTTAACATTTACACCAAATATGCCACTGTCATTGACCTCCATTTGTCTGCCACTGCTAGCTAGCTTCACATAAACCCCCCCGTCAGTTCTCATTTAAAATTTTGCATTAGGTTCTTAACACTACAGGAAAAAGGGAATATGGTGGCGTTTTTTTGACAACGTTTTTTTAAACGTCACTGTTATTAGTATTTAACGGCGTTTTATAAACGCCGCATATTCTATTAGACAAGACGGCACCGTTTTATAATGGGAAAACGCCTCCAAATG